ATGGGCAATGAGCGGTCTCGGGAGGTGGAGATGGGTTAAGTTGAGACAGGCAGATACGGGCGATTGAGGTGTGTGAGTGTCTACTGTAGTATATTCGAGTAGCGTGACTGCGGCGTGGTGGAGCGAGTTCTGTGAGGAAGCAATCCGGATCGCCTCGAGATGCGCAGACAAGGTTGCAAACTGGATTCCCCGCAGCGATTGCAGATTTCTCTCGAGAAGAGGAGCAGAAAGGTGGAGGAGGAATGAGACAAAAGCGATGGAAAGGGAAATCAGAAAGGGGGGGAAGCAAGAAAAAGAGTATTCTGGCAAATGTTTAGGGCGAAGTTGCATCCGATTGTAGCGTTGGGTTTTTGGGGCGGGGGAAGAGGCAGGAGGCAGGAGGCAGGAGAGAGAGAGGCTACTTGCAGTTTAGACCGTGACAATAGGCGCAAAAGAGGTATCCGGAGACACAATATGACAGACAGCCCAGCCAAAAAAGACAGCCCGGCTTTTGGTAGGCCGCTAGAGAAAAGCACTTGAGAGGCTAGAGCAACGCGGCACCAGCGAACGAAGCAGGTGCGTGCTGCACGAGTGTCGTGGCTGCCGTTCAAAGGGTGGTCCGACACTGCCCCCCCTGTCGCTGCCATTGAGCTCCCGTCAGTGCCGTCCAATGACGGCGAGCTTTACCGTGCCAAACGGCAATACTGTGAGACGGTGGCACGGTCCTCTTCCCCGCCGGTCGCTCTTCCGTTCTTAATTCCCAGTGTCCCACCCTCCGGCACCCTCAGCACAGCGAGACGGCGACTGGCCCAAAAATGCCAACTCTACGCCCGGGCCATAGTCAAAAATGACCAGTCACCACCACTACTGCCAGCGCCAGCTTTCCCCTCATTGGCACTCATGGTCCAATCCTGGCGGCGTATCGATCGTTGAATCAGAATGCAGTTGTCAAAGACGGGAGTTTTGAGCAATTCCTTGACGTTGAGTGGATACAGAGAAGCGAATCTAAAAGAATATTCTGGACTCCCTTACGTGTGGCCAGACCATTGTCAACACCACTTTCACGCCAAATCAAGTCGTTTTGCAGACGGATACTCACATTGCAAATTGGAAGTCCCGTCACAATGATGCGCAGGTCGTGGACCCTATAGCGGCCCTCGAGTCTCGACCAGGCTTAATCAATAAGTTCCGCCCACATAGCACTGTCTGCCCAGCCCTATCGATCGATTCGGCAGCATTGATTCGAGCTTGGAAGCCAAGCGAGACGCATGCGACTACAGTGCTGCTCGTTCAACCGTATCCCTCAACATCCTCGAGCTGCGACTTTCCATAGCCCGGGAATCATATTCACAATCACCGGTGGCAAGACCAGGTAGGATGCGCTGGCAATCGAGATCCGGCACCATCATCTGCACGCGCGCCAGGCACGCGCACGCCGTTGGTCAAGTTTCTGATGGTATTATTCTTGTTTATCTTCATACAGTCTCCGTACTGCCAAAGGACCATTGCCTCCTCGTTGTCGCCAGGTGAACGCCCTTCCCAAAGATGATGCTGATGTCGCTCGTCAGGACACCGGCCATACATAGTCGTACCTACTGCCGCGCATGTGCCGCACTACCATTCCGCTGCAGCTACAGTCACCGATAGCCTCCCTAGGTAACCACACAGTTTTGCGATTTAGTGAGTCGGCTGGGCAATCGTGCCGTAACCGTGGCCGCCGCTCTGCACGTTGTCGCTGTAGACACCCGGCGCGCGGCCAGTAATGATACGGCCCTCCCTCGCCTGCTCCTTGCGGTCGTAGTATACGTATTCGAGGTAAAATGCGTGGATGTGACCGGGGATGTATCCCAGGAGCGTCAGGCAGATGTTGACGAGGAGGTCTATGGAACTGGTCAGCGCTATCTCCACTAGCCACCGCCTTGAACGAGACGTGGACTTTGGACAACTCACCCATGCCACAGCCAGCGACTGCGTAGACACCGACGGGCGGCACTGTAGTATATGTTAGCATCACTCCTAGCTTATCCGTGCAACCAACGTTGCGTCGCCGCGACGTACCCAGAATGGTGATGAGGATGAGAAAGACGGCGGAAATGGCACCCATTTTGTTTGTCTGATGTTTTCCTATTGAAAGTGATAGTCTTCGAGGATGATGCTTGATGCGTCGGTGGGACTGGACGAATGTTCTGATTCAGTTGCGTGCGCTTAAGGGTATCAAGAAGTATCAGTGTGCGTGAAGTTGTTGTTGATTTGGCAAAACAAGTCGACGTCAACCTCAGCCGAGGCGAGGAGAACCTTAAATGCCCCAGCCTGGGTCAGACACAACCTGGCGTGCCTGGCAAGGCGGCGGCGCGGCGAACGGCCAAAAGTTGCCGTGCTCTCACCTGCCTTGTCTTGCTTTGCGAGAGGTAACAGGTTGCGCGTACGCCCTGACGCCTCCCCCTCGACCTACGTAACCTGAGCAGCCAATGTCAATGAGCGAAGCCCTTCGTGACGTGGAATGGGTGGCCAGTGCATGACGTAACCGGCACGTGCCGTTTCACTGCCGGCCGCCCAGGCCTTTGGGTTCCTGGACCAATGTGTCTTGCTTGAATTCATATTGACAGTCTGGTCCGTATTTGGCAGATTTGTCGGAAACTCGGCGAAGCAATGTGATTCTAGAATCTCAAGACATCAGAGAGAAGGGTATGGTGACAGTCGTGGCCATGGAGCTGAGAACCATGACGATCATTGGAAAGCCCCAATGAGACGCAGTGTGCCCTGAACCAGCAAGGCTTCCGGCTTGCTGCCGGCCACAGATGGTGCGTGCCTGAGACATGCATCTCTCCGATTCCCCAACCGGAACCAATCATGCAACAGTATATATACAGTGAACCCCCAGAACACCTCTAGGCGTACCTAAAGAAGGTGCCTCCTTACGAAGGATAATGGCCAAGACGCACTGTTTAACTCCATCGTTTTGCATTACTAGAGGATTGCCGCAGTACATGTAGACGCTACCCTGCCCTCGAATTCCGCACTGTTTAACCTTAACCCTTTTTATAAGTCTCCTATCCTTTTTTTTATTTTACCCTCTTCCTCGTTAAGGGATTATTAGAATTATAGTTTTAATAGCTTATTAGTAAGCTAGTATTACTATTTAGAAGTAGATAACTTATTTTTATACGTAAGTACTAAGAGTTTTATTATTATAAAAATAGTAATAAATATACTAAAATATTTAAAAGAGCTTTTTAATAGATTTTTAATACTATTTAAAGCGATTATCCTCGAGCTATAGGAGGAAGCTAAAGCGCTATATTAATACGGCCCTATTTATTTTATTAATATTAATAATACCCTTTTTAGTATAAAATATATTAATAATACTCTACGGCTGCGTTACTATACTTTATAAATTATATTTAATAATAATAAGGATTTTAGTATTTTTTTTTAAGTTTTTTATTAAGGTCGTTATTATAAAGTTAGTTTAGTTATTAGTATTTTAATAAGTATTTTAACTTAATTTAGAAGCTCTTATAGCTCTTAATAAGAGGTTTTTAAAGGATTTATAATTAGACTTTTTATTTATTATAAGCGAAGCTATTATAATTAAAGCTATAATAATTAAAGCTATAGTACTATTTACGGACCTTAATAATAAATAATTAATAATATAGTTATTTTTTTTTTATAATAAGCTTAAAAAAGTATTTTAATTTAAGTACTAGGTAGGTACTATACTGTTTTATTAAAACTGTATTCTTATACTTGTGACTTAGAAAGAATTAACTTTCTTTGATAACAAGGTACTCAGTAATGGCTAAGACGGCTTTCAAAGCTGGTGTTGATGCATGTCATCCTACTGGAAGATCAACAAACCGTACAATCCTCTGTAGCCTGTACTCAGAGCTAAGCCATCCTCTAAACGCCTAATAGAGTCCTGCGGCCCGTTGTTTCGTTGAGATCTCAAAGGCTATCACAGCCGTGACAGATAGACGTCGGTCTGTTTCAATGGCGACCGATGTTATGTCGAGCAGGAAAGTTTCGCATTCAGGAGCTCCGGCTGATCTCCAGCCAGGGTCCAAGCTTCTCCCGAAGCATACACGTGCTTCGTCTAGAACGTCGAAAATTAGGCGAAAAAGAAGTTTTTGCAAAGAACCATAAAGGAATTGGCTAACAAGCGCTGAGTTACGGAGATTTTGTACTTGGGTTGTGGTATATAAAGACTAGCCAACCAGTGAATGCAAATATCGTTACGGTCCGAGCAGGGACCAGCATCGCGGTGTTGTTCCGCGACATGCTCTTGAAACCGAGGCCGCGTAGCTGCTCGCTCGCCTCCAGATGACATAACCACGCGAAGCTTGCGAACACCAAATCGCTGCCTTGGCTAGATTAGATGAATTTTACACATTTTGAATTCCCATCGGAGATTCGAAATGCCGTCTAACAAATGAGACTCATCTCGGCTGAGGCGCCTCGAGAATAGCACACATCCGAGTTGAAACTGCTTGGGACGTTGGGCGTGACTCTGATTTAGGCTACCAATTGGCATAGTCGAAAACACAGCCGCAACACAACTTGGATCGACAAGGCAATACGAATGCCGATCAAGCCACCACAGACCTGGTAATATCACCTCCAACTACCGGTAGGTGAAGCAAGGCAGAGTCCGAGGACACCGAGACCGACTCGACTGATTAGTATAGCTCGACTCGAGACCTCACGCTGCTGTTCATGAGGGCGTACTGTGTAGAGTAACAGAACCGGTGCCGAAGAGCTGCAGTGATAGCCGGGAGGGTCTGATTTCCTTCGACAGGCAAGGGCTGGCGCTAGCTCCAAGGGCCCATCCGTGGCAGATGGGGGCCGATGGTAATGGTGCGAACTAAGACACTTCTTCCAACCTTCTCGAAGCTTGAGCCCTGCGAAGTGTGTTGAATAAGGGGGGTCTGAGCCGTTGAACCCGCGGATTGGTCCAAAACTATGCCCCGTCCGCCAACCTTTACAGACTTGTGAAAGTGATTCAAGAAGCAAACTCATCAGCCGCCCACGGTAGGCAGTGTAAAGTGTTGTTTACGTCGCCTTCGACCGCGGAGACGTATGTCGATGCTCTCCTCTCCATCGGTACCGAGCCGTGCTGTCGATGCTACCTGCAAAGGCGTAGGGGAACGGCTACCCGAAGTAGCGACAGGGTAGGCCCAGTTAGGCCCAGTCAATACATCATTGTGGGCTGATACCATGGGCGCCAGGTGACGCTTCGTGTGTGCCGGCAAGTGAGGTATGGCCGTGTGGAGCCATTTAACGTTCGCTTTGCTGCTCCAACGGGGGCTAACTGCAAAGCTGTTGGATCCTTCAGAAGGAATTTTGTGTGTGCCGGCTGGTAACATGCTAACTCCACGGACGTTGATGCCTTCTTGAAAGTCCCAGAACCGTTGACCAAGCTCGCGAAAACCTAGCTGAATCTCTCCACGTGGTGGACAGGGAGATGTCGCTCAGCGGGTAATCTTGGTGCGTGCTACCACAACTGTCTGTACTCAGAGACAGTTTTCGCCTCCGGGTCCTCTGACACGCACTCAAACGGGCAAGCTCCCTAGACTTGTCTTGAACAGACAGTTTGCGGCTCGCTGTTTGACCTGGGGTAGTGGTACTTGGCTGCGCAACGAGGCACCTCTTCAACGCTCATGTTGACTGACTGCTCCTTCCCAAAGCTCTATGCTCAACGGCCAGTGGGCGACTTGTCATGGGAGGCTGCTTGTGGAGTGGAAGTCGACAATGTGTACGGAGTAGTGTATGGGTGTAGCTTCAGGCAGGGTAACAAGGGTGGGGAGGCATCCGGAGACTGAAGTCGACAGGTATTTAGGGCACAGTAGCAAAGTGACCCCTTATCGAAGAGCATATTGTGCATTTGGGCGAGCTAACACGCCTCTGTTGTCGTTTCCCGTAGTCATCATTGTGCCGCTTTATAGACTATACTTGTGCAGTTATGGAATGTTCATGGCAATGATCCTCTGAAGGTTGGTCGATCCATCAGCATGTGTTGATATGCTCAGAACCCAAAACAGGAATTCCTTCGTCGCGGAGTTAAGTGTGTGACAAAGCCGCATAGGCGCAACCCCAGAGAACAATAGAGGTCGATACACGACTGGGACGCAGTGTGCCGCTTGTAGTTGCAGTATCAACTACCTTGGTCCCCGACGAGGGCGATGCCGCGAGGGACGTGAGTGACGGGTTCGTGCTGGACGGAGAAGACGCAAAGGGGAGAAGAAGGGGCCCTGCTGATAGGGAAGATCCAAGCATCCGGCGACGGCGGCAAGGAGCCGGTATGCAAGAGAGCGTGGCTATGTCCAAGGGTTCCCTCCCGAGGGAACGTGGAAAAGGCGCCGTGGTCGAAGAGTGGACTTTTGAGCCCTGCCGTGCATAAAATGTGGTGGTTTCTGCAGCCTAGCAGCAGGTTATAGTCACCGCCGGCGGCCCTCCAGCGTCTACAATTTCTTGTCGAGCGCCAATGGACAGTTGACCATTGGATGATTCATGGACTCTGTTCAAAGGGGGTGAGAGCCGCAGCAGTGGTGGCAAGAGAGGCTATGGAAAGGTAAGCAAGCTGAAGCTGTCTCCGACGTCTTGTAGACCCGTATCCCCGGGAATTGAAGTCAACAGCCTGTGGCCTGCGTGTGTGTTTTGTCCGACAAATGTGAGGCGAGCGGTATGACGGGTGGGTTTTTGGATGCACATTCCGTTCTTTAGCACGGATGGAATTTCATTCGCGACCCCATTTTCCCACGTTGGGTCAAGCGATGGGACGCTGATGTGGCCCTTCCCTTGCCGTGCTGCTGCTCTCTGAGGTACCTGAGGTACTCCGTAGAATCTGCTTGGGTTCCCTCCGCCGTGGTTCATTGCGCGCACATGGCAGCCCAGGCAGGAAGGCCAGATGCAACGAGCACGGCCGCAGTCTCCGGCACAGCACTGACGCCGCTCCCAAGTGCGACAGGGGAAAGGCACCTAAACCAAAGGCTCCAGCAGATGTGCTTCGGCACCTCGGATCTGTTGGCGCTTGGGTTCCTACTTAGGGGACATTCCATTGAGTTAGGGGACTTGAGAAGTTGGGGCGGGTTATGCAGTTGACGAAGCTCGTGGGGTCCTAGACCGAGACTATTAGCTCGCAGAAAGCAAAGGCAAGGCAGGCTTATGAGACGAGACATCGCGGGGAACACGATCTACCTTAGCACGGATTGTCATGTGCAGCCGTCTGCTCGGAGGAACCTCATCTCTCTTTTTCCTGTGAAAGTCACGATCGCGGGAGCCGTCCCTGCAGGGTACAGACGCAGTTTTGAGAAAGAACATGGCTTTGGTCGCCGATGAGGAGCAGCACTAGGGCTGCCGGCCTTATGCAGTAGCCCTTATGGTTCTCTTCGTTCTCCAAGCTTGAGTGTCGTTTGCTCAACTCGAGCCGAGACAATAAAGTCGAGGTTGATACTCGAGAAGACACATACACATGAACGATGGTGATGGAGGAGAAAACTGAGCGAGGGATTTCAGGGTGCCTGCCAAAGAGAATTCGTCGCCAGCTTGCATTGGTTCCGTAAGCAACCCCGATGGCTGCGTATCATGTATGATTCGAGACTTTTCCAACGTTCATCTTCATGGCCACCTCACGATGGAAAGTGCCAAACACCTCGCATTGCTGTCACAATCTAAGCTCAAGGCAAGGAAGGCAAGGTACCTTACCTCCACGTCGCCTTACCGTGTTACCAGGGGTGCCTCCACCAGTCGTATCAAAATTGCAAGCCCGGCAACTTGTGTATGTCATGTACCTGACCAAACCAAGCCTCCCCCCGTTGCCGTACGGTACTGCCCTGGGTGTTGGGTGCTGTTGCTGCAGCTGCACATGGACCAACTGCGCCCACCAAACACGCCCTCGATCGTTGGACAGCATCTTGTTTTGTTCCTGCCGGTCGTCGTCTCTTGTTACTCGTTGGTGTTGCCATGTACTTGTGTAGAAAGGCAACGCAAGACAGGTAAGAAAGACCAATTGTGGGAAGTACTGCCTGGGCTAAAGGCAAGGTCAGCGGTACCTGCCTCACTATCTACTGTATACCTAGGAATAGGTATACCTGTGGATGCACAAGTCTCCGTAAGGTACGAATACTCACGTACCGTTGTAAACACCGGGCTTTTTGCAATCCTCTTTTTTTGGGAGTCGTTCCCCAGGAGCAAAAGAGACAGTGGAGGAGGTACTTTCCCTCGCACTGCACGCTCCATGCAAAACTAGGTACCCTACCTGACGGAGCATTTTCCCAAGTCCCACGCCAACACCAATTTTCTTCTCCTGCGTCTACGGTCGACTTCCCTCCTACCTTCCCATCACCTTTCCCTCTTTTCGGTTCCTTCCTCCTTGCCCCTACCGAAACCTCCCACCTCTCCTCCTCCTCCTCTCCTTCCCCGAGTTGCTGCGAGGACAAAAGGTATTTCGACACGAGGACCGGTCAATTTCCTCCTCGTCTCCTTTTCTGCCCTTGCCTGCTTGTTGCCGCAACTTCCGCTTCGGTCTTTTTTGCTGTGCACTTCACTTTGCTCGGCACCTCTCCTGAAGCTTGAACCGGGAACCACTCCCGTACCCTCCCCCGAGCATCCGTCGTTTGTTCGAGTCAACCACACACCTACAGCTACTCGCCTGCTGTGTGGGAAACAATTGTTTGAAGCATCGGCTTGCTTTCTCCCAGGCATCGCCATAGCCATTATCCTTACCGTGCAGCCTTTCGTCATCGGCCACGTTGTCGCCTTCCTGCCAAAATGTCTGGTTCCCAAGCTGGTAACCAGCTCAACATCGATCGCTATGTCGTGATCCACGTCGCAACCACCTGCGATGAGCATGGAGTCTACGTCACCAAGGACTCGGCCGAGGTTATTGAGCTCGGCTGGATTCTTCTCGACGCCAAGTCTCTGGAGGAGGTGAGTTGGCATCATCCATCCCCGACTTTTTTTTTTGCGGGCTATCCCTCTTCGCTGCTTCAACCCAGAGCTGACCGAGCTTGTCTCTAGATCACCCGCGAGAGCGTTCTTGTCAAACCCATCAACACTCCGATCACACCCCTGTGCAGTAAGTAGTCGCACCAGGCTTGAGACCTCAATCCCCTTCCCGTCACGCCATATGACGCCTGTTTGAGGCGCGGGCAACATCCTCGTGAAAAAATTCCCTAGCTGACCTCGGCATTTTTCTCTTCCTCTAGCGAGCTTGACGACCCTGACCTGGGAACATGTCCGTAATGCTGGTACCTTCCGCGATGCCATTAACCGATTCGACACCTTTGCCAACGAACACTTGACTTCGCAAAACCTCGATTTCGTCTTCGTTACCCTCGATGCTTGGGACCTTCGCGTCCAGCTGCCCCGAGAGGCCCGCGACAAGGCTGTCGTTCTGCCCCCGTACCTTCAGCACTCCCGCACGTTCGATTTGCGAACCGAATATCAGAGATGGCAGCAGCACCACCCCGAATCGTTGCCTTTTGGGCCCTCAATGCTGTCCAATATCTGTGCCGCCTTGGAGGTGGAGCCGGTCCAGTCCAGTGCTCCAATCAAGCACAACCTGCCTTTCCACCTTCAGGCGCTGGCTCCTGCCTCTCCTCGCCGCGCCATGGAGGAGGCCGTCACTCTCGCCCGCGTTCTGCGAGGCCTCATTCGCAAGTCGCAGCCTTCCCATGAGCACCCCGATGTCTTGACGAGACCAATGGATGCTCGCGCCGATGTGCGGGCTTTCTTGTCGGAGCGCAGCAAGGTTCTCCACATGTCTGGCCTGCCCCATGATACCACTCAATCCGAGCTCGAGAGCTGGTTCACTCAGTTTGGCGGTCGTCCCATTGCGTTTTGGACCCTCCGTACCCCTGAGCAGCACAAGCCCACCGGCAGCGGCTTCGCCGTGTTCTCTTCCCATGAGGAGGTGAGTTGGCCATTTCTTCATCGTGCCCTGCACACTGTCCATTGTGTCTATCAAGAACCTACGTGTGGCGTTCTTAGTTGGACACTGTCATCAGACGTGGCACTTTTGAGGTACCCTGCTGACATCCTTCCTAGGCCGCTGAGAGTCTGTGCATGAACGGTCGTGCCCTTAATGAGAAGGCGATCGAAGTGTCTCCGTCTTCTAGCCGTGTCCTGGACCGCGCTGCTGAGATCCTCACCCCCTTCCCGCCCAGCAAGAACCGCCCTCGCCCTGGCGACTGGACTTGCCCTTCATGTGGCTTCTCGAACTTCCAGCGGCGAACTGCGTGTTTCCGCTGCTCGTTCCCGGCTGTGAGTGCCGGGCCTACCGGCGACATGGGCTACGGCTACGGATACGGACCACCGGCCATGATGCCCCCTCCTCAGCACCACCACGGACACATGGGTCACGGTGGTGGTCGCATGGGCGGCAGCGGCGTTGTGCCGTTCCGCGCGGGAGATTGGAAGTGTGGCAATGAGGTCTGCGGTTACCACAACTTTGCTAAGAACGTATGCTGTCTGCGATGCGGCGCCAGCCGTGCTGGTGCCGCCGTCGTCGCTGACTCTGGTGGCTACCCTTCCCCCATGGACCCTCCCTCCAACTATAGCATGAGCCAGGGCTCCATGAGCGGCACGCCCGGACCTGGCCCCTTTGCCTCGGCCGGTGGTAACTTCGCCTCTCAGGGCGGCGGCTACGGTGGTGGTCAGCAC